ATTGTGTTTTAAATTTTAGTTTCAAATTGTTTATTGCCAGTGTGTAGAAATACAATTGATTTTTTGTATGTTAATCTTGTATCCTGCAAACTTCCTAAACTCATTTATTAATTAGAAGTTTTTTTTATAGACTCTTGGGATTTTTTATGTATATAGTCATGTCATCTGCAAATAGAGGCAGTTTTATTTCTTCCTTTCCAATCTATATCCTTTTCTTGCCTTATTGCATTGGCTGAAATAAGAGTGGTGAGAGAAGACAGTCTTTTAAAAGAAAGGTGGCCATGCCCAGCCTGTGTGGTTCAGTGGTTGAGTGTGGGCCTATGAACCAGGAGGTCACGGTTTGATTCTGAATCAGGGCACATACCCAGGTTGCTGGCTCAATCCTCAGTAGGGAGCATGCAAGAAGCAGCTGATTGATGATTCTCTCATCATTGATGTTTCTTCCTATCTCTCCCTCTCCCTCTCCCTCTCCCTCTCCCTTTCTGAAATCAGTAAAATAAAAACAAAAAGAAAGGTGGCCAGTCTTTTACTATTAAGTATAATGGTAGTTGTAGGTTTTTTTGTAGATGCTCTTTATAAGGTTGAAGAAGTTTCTTCTATTCTTTGTTTGCCTAACATTTTTTAAAATCATAAATGGAATGATTATGTTGAATAGTTTTTCTCCATAAACTGAAATGATCATATGAACTTTTTCCTTTAGAGTGTTAATGTTATATATATATATATATATCAAAAGAAATTTTATTTAAAAATACTTTACAGCCCTAGCCGGTTTGGCTCGATGGATAGAGCGTTGGCCTGTGGACTGAAAGATCCCAGGTTCCATTCTGGTCAAGGGTACATGCCCGGGTTGCAGGCTTGATCCCCAGTAGGGGGTGTGCAGGAGGCAGCCAATCAATGATTCTCTATCATCATTGATGTTTCTCTCTCTCTCTCTCTCTCTCAACCCTCCATCCCCACCAAAGACAGCACTCAGGTCAACTACAACAAAAGAAACTTTATTTAAAAATACTTTACAGACGTGGGTGCTTGAAAAAGCTCTTTAGTTAACTGTATATAAATGAAAAAATTAATAAATAACATTAGTATAACAGACCTGAACATGAACACACTGGCAAAACAAATGGACTTAAAATGGAAATGAATCTTAAAGCTCTGCTATTCCCTGTATGAATATTTACCTGCTGTTTTTCTTATTTTTTACAAGTGAGAAAGATTAAATACTATGAATATAAAGTTTCTTATATTAATGACACACTTTTAAAATAGCCAACAAAAATCTCACCTACGCTTTCTATTTAACTTCCACACTGATGCACAGAGCGAGGCTCTTTGTCCTGGAGAAGCATCAGCTCTCAGACCCACCCAGGTCCAGAATGTTAAGTCACAAGTAAGGAGAACCTCAGAGAGAACTGTTTCTATCCCCACATTCTTTATTAGTTAAAGGCAGGGAAGAACTCAGAAAAGGGAGAGAAAAAAGTAAAATGCTATTACATAGAAAACATTTTTTTTTTCCTTTCCCCCCTGAAACCTAGTGGTCACAATTCTGAAGACAGGCTCCTGGTCACAGTTCTTGCTGCCTTTTCCAGGGAAAACTCGATCCCCAGAGAGGGCACTCACTGCTTAATGCTCTAAGTCTGAAAGCTTCCGACAAAAGGGAGGCATGATGTAGTAGATAAGTTAATTGGTTTCCTTATATTGCACCATCTTTGAAATCAGCTTCACTTGGTCATGGTTTATAATTCTTTTTATATATAGTAGTCCCCACTTATCTGCGGGGGGATACATTCCAAGACCCAAGTGGCTACCTAAACACAGATAGTACCAAACCTTATATATACTGTGTTTTTCTTTCATTTTTTAATCTTTATTGTTGAAAGTATCACATATGTAAAATAAGGGCTACCTCGACAGTTGATCTGATAACCAAGACGGCTTCAAAGTGATTAATGGATGGGTAGTTTATACAGTGTGGATATGCTGGACAAAGGATTGAATCACATCCCTGGAGAGCAGGAAGGCGAGATTTCATCACACTATTAAGAGCAGCACGCTATTTCAAACTTATGAATTATTTCTGTAATATCCCATGTAATATTATCAGAAGCAAGTTGACCATGGGCAACTGAAACCTTGGAAAGTGAAACCAGGGATAAAGGGAGACTACTGTTGAATTCAATTTGCTAACATTTTGTTGAGGATTTTTGCATCTTTGTTCATGAGAGATACTGGTCTGTAGTTTTCTTCTTTTATATTTGTCTAGTTTTGACCTCATGAAATTAGTTGGGAAATGTTCCTTCCTACTCTGTTTTCTGTTTTCTGATATTGTGTGTATAATTCGTCTCATTTCTTCTTTGGTAGAATTCACCAGTGAAACCATCTGGACCTAGATATTTCTTTTTCTAAAGGTTTTTCTTAAAGCTATTAATTAAATTAATAGTTATAGGGCTATTCAGATTATCAATTTCATCTTGAGTGAGTTTGGTTGGTTGTGGTTTTCTAGGAATTGGTCCATTTCACCTAAGTTGTCAAATTTATGTATGTAGAGTTGTTTGTATTATTCTCTTAGTATCTTTCAGTGTATGAGGGATCTTTAGGGCTGTTCCCACTTTCATTTCTAATAATCATAATTTGAGTCTTCTTTCTCTTGTCCCCTCTTTTTAGCCAGTCTTGCAAGGTCAATTTTATTTATCTTTTCAAAGAACTAGCTTCTGAGTTGAGTTTCTTTATTGTCTTTCTGTGTATCATTGATTTTTGCTCTTTATTATTTCCTCCCATCTTACTGCTTTGGCTTTATTTGGCTCTTCTTTTTCTAGTTCCTTGAGGTAGCTTAGATTATGCTTCCCTTCTTTTTTTTTTTTAAGAGAATATTTTTAAAAAATATATATTTTAATTGATTTTTTACAGAGAGGATGGGAGAGGGATAGAGAGTTAGAAACATCGATGAGAGAGAAACATCGATCAGCTGCCTCCTGCACACTCTCTACTGGGTATGTGCCCGCAACCAAGGTACATGCCCTTGACCAGAATCGAACCTGGGACCCTTGAGTCCACAGGCCAATGCTCTATCCACTGAGCCAAACTGGTTAGGGCTGCTTCCCTTCTTTTAAAAATACTGAGCAGTTGTTTCAGAATACTCCTTGGTTCCCAGAAGAAATATTTACCCATTAAAACTCAGCTCAGGTGTCACTTCTGAGGCAGAATAGGGTTGTAGCCAGCCTTTCCTCCTCACCTACTACCTTGCCTTCCCTCATTACCCTCCAAACTGGTGGTTAATGAAAGAATCTGAAGCTAAAAAAGAGAACTATGGGATTTAACTAGTGCTGAGAGTTCTTTCTAACCTGCAGTAAAATAAGGTTCCAGGGGTGGGCAAACTTTTTGACTGAGGGCCACAATGGGTTCTTAAACTGGACCGGAGGGCCTGAACAAAAGCATGGATGGAGTGTTTGTGTGAGCTAATATAAATTCAAAGTAAACATCATTACATAAAAGGGTACGGTCTTTTTTTTTTAAGTTTTATTCATTTCAAACGGGCCGGATCCGGCCCGCAGGCTGTAGTTTGCCCACGGCTGGTTAGACTCTACCCTAGGCAACTAGAGAGGGGCCTGGGGGCCATAAAAATTCCAACTCACTTGTGTAGGCTTCCAGTTTACAAGGTTATATTGGACTTCACAACTCCATGGCAAGACAGGAATTACCCCATTTGAATGATGGGAAAACTCAAGCAGAGCGTAGTTCGAGGTCCCCAATGCAGGCCTAACGCATTTCCAGAGGGAACTCCAGAAGCTGCACCAATCTGGGCAGAGAGCTTCTCCCCACTGGTCTTAGGGAGCGAGGAACACACACACCCCGCTCAGTGCTTTGCCTTGCCCTGCCCGCCAGGGGGCGCACGTTCCTGCTCCCAGGTCTCGGGAAGCCACCAAAGAACCGGTGGGTGATAGTTGAGCGGGGTGAGTTAGCGTACCCCGAGGGAATCGTGAAACCTGGGCCTCATAGCTTGGATCCCCAAGGGTGGGCCTAGGGTCGGCCGGCAACAGGCAAGGGAGAGGGACAGGTCCCCGTGAACTGCCGGGGAGCCCAGGGACGCTGTCCTCTGTCGAGGGCCACCCCTCACCACTCAATGCCCCCCTCCGTATTTGGGCAACAGGGACTTTGGGCGAGTTCAGCTCGGTCAGGCCTCCTCTGACCAGAGCAACTGCGATGGATGCAGGAGCCCAGACTTGTCTTTAGCTCCTTTGCGATCCCATTCTTCTGCATTCACTGCGTTCCCTGCTGTCACTGCCAGAGCCTCACCCACATTCTCCACGCCCCTAGAATAGCCGCTTCCCCGCCCCACGCCAAGACCCCTCTCTCCCCCCAAGACCCGCCGAGGGCCGGAACTTGGTCTGGCCTAGGGCAGCTGACGCTCCTCCTCCTCTGACCTGGGCCCGCCCCCTGCCCCTGGGCCCGCCTCCGAGACACGTGGTAGATCCATCCTCCCGGAAGCCTCGCGTTACTCCAACGCCTCGCGCGGTTGCCCGAGCGGCTCTCGGTTAGGGGCGGGGAGCACGGAGGCCGGGAAGGCGGTTCGCGGAGCTCGCAGAAGCCCGGGGTCGCCCGCGACCTGGCGTTCCTGTTGAGCGCCCCTTTCCTTCCCTCCTTCGGGTCTGGGGTCCTGGCTGCACCCTCTACTAGGCCGCTTGGCACAACGCGTAAGTGACCTGGCGGGGAAAGGGCCGCGTCCGCAAGGGGGCCATCCTGGACCCGAGAGAGTTGGCGCGAGAGCCGGGGAGCGGGCGGTGGAGGGGCTTGAGGTTGGGGCGATGTATGAATGAATAGAGCCGGCGGTGGCGGTGGAGGAGACGCGGAAGCTTGGGGGTAATGGGCGGGGACTGAGGCCGGAAGCGAAGAGGGGCGTTGAATGCGCCCCCTCCTGGTTACACCTATTGGACAGGAAATGGAGTAGAAAAGGAAGCGAAGTGGCTTGTCACCCCTCACTGATCTCGTCTTTTTCCCGCCAGGGCACGCACCATGGCAGAAAACAGAGAGCACCGTGCGGCCATCGAGGCTGAGCTGGATCCAGTGGAGTACACCCTTCGGAAGCGACTGCCCCACCGCCTGCCCCGGAGGCCCAATGACATTTATGTCAACATGAAGACTGACTTTAAGGCCCAGCTGGTCCGCTGCCAGAAGCTGCTGGACGGTGGGGCGCGGGGTCAGAACGCATGCACTGAGATCTACATTCATGGCTTGGGCCTGGCCATCAATCGTGCAATCAACATTGCCCTGCAGCTGCAGGCGGGCAGCTTCGGGTCCTTGCAGGTGGCCGCCAATACCTCCACGGTGGAGCTTGTTGATGACCTGGAACCAGAGACTGATGCACGAGAGCCGCTGACCCGCATCAGAAACAACTCGGCCATCCACATCCGAGTTTTCAGGGTCACACCGAAGTAATTAAAATGAGTCTGGCTCACTTTGTCCAGCCACCCTCAGCTAGGCTCAGGTATGACTCTCCTTGTACTGAGTACTGTCATGGACCTCCTGCTAGAGTCAGGAAAAGCCTGTCTTCTCATAGCCCAAAGGATTCTGAATTGAGACGGGGAGTGTGTCTCTTGGGCCCAAGCAATAGGCCTTCCTGAATCTTTGTGGTCTGTAACCCACCATTGTCCTAGACAATAAAAAGTATCGAGTTGTGTTAAGTGTCCATCCACCCCACTGCCACTCCTTTCCCCTGTGTAAAGTCTGTGTGTGCTTGAAAAGAAGAGTAGGAAACCTGACAAGTATGTCAATGTAGGAGGGAAACTTGAGGTGCCTTCACAGAGAGCATACATTGTACTAGGGAGAGAGTAACAAACTTTAGTACAATGCAAAAGCATGACAACCCATAGTTTGCCTTAAAATTTCTCATTCGCTCAGAGGCAGGCCTAATGGATAAGGTGTACACTTTTGCCTGCTGAATGCAGCTGGGATAGTTGTATGCTCAGAAGCATCAGGCTCTGGTAGAGGTTCCCAGGCACAGAAAAGGTGGGGGTTTAAAAATGAAAGAAGCAAAAACTAGGGTCTCCTTTGTATCAGCCTCTGGTAGGGATTGACACATGGCTTCATTCATTTCTTGGTCCTGCAGAGCCCAAAGTGTTCAAAGCAACTATGGTCCAGAGCCCTTCAGACCTTTCTGGCTGGGCTGCTCTGTGGGAAAAGAAAGCCTCCCCCCGAATCACTGGGCACAGATAAATACTTTTTGTTTGGATATTTTTAGAAAGATCAGATTTCTCATGTTTATCAAAGTAGAGTCATCTAAAGCAATGTGGTTGGTGATCCATTTGTGGGTCTTGAAATCACTGTACTGGATCATAGACTTAAGAAGCAAGTAGAGTCCTAGTTGGTTTGGCTCAGTGGATAGAGTGTCAGCCTGCAGACTGAAGAGTCCCTGGTTTGATTCTGGTCAAGGGCACATGCCCAGGTTGTGGGCTCCATCCCCAGTGTGGGGCCTGCAGGAGGCAGCTGATCAATGATTCTCTCATCATTGATGTTTTTTTTCTCTCCCTTCCTTTTCAAAATCAATATTTTAAAAAAACAAAAAACTTCAACCCTCAAAGACAATAAAAAAAAGCAAGTAGAAGAAAGTGCAACTTAAATGGCAGTGTTGTTGCCAATTTTTTAGTTAACAATGTGTTTACATATACACACTAGAGACCTAGTGCATGAAATTCTTGCACTGGTAGGGTGTCTAGGCCTGGCCAGCGAGGCTTTCCTTCTGGCTGCCAGCCGCCCCCTGGTGCTCAGCACACATCATAGTGAGTAATTGAATTCCTGGTCTCCCGGTCGAACTCCCGGGGGGGACAAGTTGCATATTAGGCTGTTACATATATAGAAGATATGTAGTAGGTATATGAATTGTTTTACTGTGGTTGAAATCAAGTTTGAAAGCATCTGATTTAAAGGTTAGTAACAGAATTTTATTTTAGTTCACTTGAAAGTAGTTTGATTTAGGTTTTGAAAATCAGGCTTCTCATTTATTGAAATCCCTTCTGGCTTGAGTATTGATGAGGGACTTTGATGCTGGGTGAGTGACTGCCAGTAAAGTGGATTCCTTACAAAAGGACCAGTGCTTCAGTCAAACAACTAAGCATGTGCTGAGTACCTACTGTGAGCCAAGGCCTGGGTTGGGCCCTGGGAATACAAAGGGGTGGATATAGAATGGCCTCTGTCTTCAAGGAGCTCATCATTTAATTGGAAAGGTGGATATACAGTTTTTGTGAATGAGGAAGATGTGTTATAAAAGAATTTAAGTAGTCATGATATGGAAATGTGGAAAAGGAAATGCTAACTTCCTGGTGGGGTCCAAGATGGTTTCACCTTTGACTTGGGTTTCGAAGGATGAATAGGAGTTTGCCAGGCAAAAAAGAAGGGAGAGGGCATATCTGGGTAGAGGGGTTGGTATGCACAAAAGGGGTTCATGAACAGGCAGGACATGTTCTGGGGCTGGAGGGTCACTCAGTGGCTAGAAAGCAGGAGGCGAGGGAGACATGGGAGATATTCCTATCACACCCTTTACCCGCATTTCCCTATCATCCTTGATTGCAAGGCTCCCTTGCCCTGGAGCCCCCCAGTAGCAGAGGGAGCTGGATGGAACTATGTGTCTTCCTGCACGTATGTGTTCTTGTGTCTACGCTTCTGGCCTGGGCCCAGCTGAGGTGGTGGCAGGCAGCCTTTTGCATTTGGTTTGTTTTGGCAGCTATGTCTCCCAGCCTATTTGTTTGTTGTTTCTACTCCATGTTCTCTCGCTGCTTGCCAGTGCGGTTTCCCTCAGTGGCAGTTTTATAGAAATAGCCCTTAGACATTGGACAGTGTGGGGGCTCACCCTTGAGTGTGTGGGGGCATGTAAAGATGAGGGGAAGACTTCTGCATCTATTGGAGTCCATGCATGGTGGGTGGGGCAAGGAACTCCATCCCATTTGTAGTGAGGCTGACTCTGGCTTCTGTCCACCCTCCATCCCCAACTTCTACTGGCTCTCTGAAGTGCCTTTCATCAAAACTAGGGAAACGGGGGAAGGTATGTCCAAATGCAGTTTCCCTCCCTTCTTTTTACTCAACAGCTGCAGAGCCCACAATGAGTGCATAATAACCTCCTACTTCAAAAACATTCTCAGAGGCTAGAATTCAAATGCTTAGCTTGGAAGTGGGTGTAGACATTTGTTCATCATCCATAGCGTTATTGAGCATCCTTTAGTTGTAGGGATTTGTGTTAGGTGCCAGGCCTGCCTGGAGAGGTCTAAACCGTTGGTCCTGTAAAGTCTAATAGGAAGCAGGACAGATAGACTTAAAAAGACAAACAATTTGCATAGTGCTTGGAACTGTCTTGGTGTTTGTAAAGGCTACTATTGTTAGTATGACAGTTTGCTAAGGAATGGTTTGGAGCCTCTTAATGTAACTAGGGAGAGGGGAAGGAAGGTGATTTGTGTGTGTTTGATTCACAAGGCTGGGTTATTAGTTTTGTCAGCTTTTCATTGTGGCTTGCCTGGTAGGGAAGAAGGCCCTCAGGACACATGAACTGGTTTGGATGGGCTGATAAGTAAGTCCCATACTATGTCCCAGATGAGTTCCTGATGCTCCCTCAGGAGTTGGGGAAAGAATGGTATGTTCCACATACCTTTTGTTGTTGTTGTTAATCCTAACCTGAGGATATTTTTTTCCATTGATTTTTTTTAAGAGTGTGGAAAGGAGGAGGGAAGGAGGGAGGGAGGGAGAGAGAGAGAGAGAGAGAGAGAGAGAGAGAGAAATATTGGCTCGAGAGAGACATTGGTCGGTTGCTTCCCGCACTCACCGCAACCCAGACTAGGGAATGAACCAGCAACCCAGGTACATGCCCTTGACTGGAAATCAAACCCGTGACCCCTCATTGAGGGGGATGATGCTCTAAACACTGAGCACACTGGCCAGGGCCCACATACCCTTTTGAACCTATGGAGAAGTTGGACTAGAAGTATGTGTCCAGTGCAGTTTCTTAGGGAAGGAGATGTCTAGCTGCACAGAGATTTGGAGTGAGGCCAAGGTCATCCCACCAAGAAAGAAGTTTGTGAAAATGACCACTTAAGACTCCATCTTCCTAATGACATTCTGGGTGCTTTTTAATTTATGTTTTTTGGCTTAGCCATGTTGTCTAGTTTTTCAATGGTCATGTGTGTTTTTTCTTAATGTATAGTATTAACTCTTTTTAAAAATTGATTTGAGAGAGAGAGAAAGGGAGAGAAACATCGAGTTGTTGTTCCACTTATTTATGCATTTATTGGTTTTCTTGTATGTGTCCTGACGGGAGATCAAACCCATGGCCTTGACATATTGGGACAACACTCTAACCAAATGAACTATCTGGCCAGGTCTGTATTATTTTTGTAATAAGAAAAGTTACAGCCCTGACCGGTTTGGCTCAGTGGGTAGAGCGTCGGCCTTCGGACTGAGGGGTCCCAGGTTCGATTCCGTTCAAGGGGCATGTGCCTTGGTTGCGGGCACGTCCCTAGTGGGGAGTGTGCAGGAGGCAGCTAAATCGATGTTTCTCTCTCATCGATGTTTCTAGCTCTCTGTCCCTCTCCCTTCCTCTCTGTAAAAAAATCAATAAAATATATTAAAAAAAGAAAGAAAGAAAGAAAAGTTACATTTTTACAAACCCTGTTCTTTTGTTCTCTTCTCTATCTAGGTGGGGTGATCAGGGAGCTAGACATCAAACTGATGAGATAATCTCAAGGAGAAGTGATTTCACTGCCCAGTCCAGTAAGGAATAAATATCTGATGAATGGATGGATGGGTGGCTGCACAGTAAGACAGCTTGCTGTCTACTCTGTAACAAGCCTCTGCTCCCTTGAGAAACATCAAATGTCTTGTCACTGGAAATATGCAAGCAGAGAGCTTCATCTTCACGGGACCTCCTAGGTCCCTTCCAAGTCCATGCATCTTGTTTGCTGCAAGAAAAATGTACTAAATACCTGAAAATACTAAAATTGTTTGCTGGCTCATGAAATAAGACATGAACAGAAGTAGGAAGAGCCTGTAGGACCACCCAGTAGAGATCATGCAAAATCCTTAGTCCCCAATCTCCATGTTAACAAAATGAAGCTTTTGTATTCACAATTGTACACCTGTGAAGACCTTACATGGGAGAAAAACATTACTCCCATTAATATTGCAAGTAGTGTTTGGTTTCAATTAGGACTTTCTAATTTTATTTTTGCTTGGACAGGAAAGTTACTCTGGCCAATTTAGTAGCTCTGTCTTCCGATATAGGATGGGTGATGTGGGAAGGGGCTTAGGAATATTCAGCGATGCTCGTGAGCTAGAGATCCTAGGATTGGGCTGACACTTTTCACAGAAACTTAACTGGAGGAAGTGGTTCTGGAGCTCGAGATAGAGGTATTGGTGCTCTGGGAGCCCTGCTGTAAGGACTCAAGTGCTTGGGGGATTCAAGAGGCAAGTAACTGAGAAAGGTGGCCTCATATTGCTTATCTAGAGTGGGCCCACAGGCCTCACTCAGTCCAAGGGCTTTGAGCTTCTTTGGGGACCCACATTGATGGGGCAAGAAATTCTTGGTTGGCCCTACTTTGAATAAACAAAGTTTGAGTCTTGTCTTGATATCTGTGTCTTAACCCATCTCCAACTCCCACAGGGACTCCATTTCACTCAGTTGTATTCAGGGGCAAGTGTCTCCCAAGTGCAGTCAATGTGCCCAGCTTCCCAGAGGGAACAGTAAAAGATGTTGGAGGAAGGTCAGAGAATATGCTGGGGGTTTGGTCTCCCGGCCTCCAAAGTGAGAACAAGTAGCTGGTATAATAGAGCAGAGAGCGTAGAAATCATAGTTAGCATTTGTTGATCACCCTATGTCAGGTATTACATAATCCCACCTCAGCCCTGGGAAGGGATTACTATGATTTTCACCATCCCCATTCTATAGAAACAAGGTTCAGAGATAAAGTCATAAGTCGGTGGCAGCTAGTAAGTGGCAGAGCTCAGGCCACCAACCTGGGCTCCCTTGTTTACTGAACTACCCCTTTAGGTCGTTGGGTTACAGTGCTGCTTGCGGAGAACAAAACCTGGATCTGGTTCTGGCTACTTGTGGCCAAGAAAGCAGCCTTTGCCTCAGTTTCTCCAAATTGATCTTTGCACAGGATTTTCTTTCTCCATCAGGAATCCCTTCTGCAGCATTCTTGCTCCCTTTCCAGCTTCCCAAGGGCCAGGAAGCCCTCCCCCACCCCATCCTCAGCCACCTCACTTCCCAGCACAGAAGGTCTTCTGGGCCACTGGCTGAGAGTCAAGCTGAGAAGCAACTGCTTGGAAAGCAGGGCAGGAGGGGCCCAGAGCCCTCCCTCCACTCCCCCTTATCCCCAACCCCACTCCCGGCAGCTGGGGCTTCATGCTGCCTGGGGTCTGGGACAGCTCAGGGGGGCTGTAAATTTGCTTCTCCTTGGATTTTCGATCTGAATTGGCTGCCAGGAAGATTTCATGGAACAGAGCCTGTCTCCACCCCCGCCATCCTCTGGTCACAACGGTCCCTCTCCAGATCCTGCCTCAGTGGCTGTCTTCACAGGAAGTGGAGGGAGGCCTCTCAAGCTCCCAAGATCCCAGAGCTAGGTTGTCCAGGCATGGCTCTGGCAAGCACTCTGAGGATGAATGGCTTACTTCCCCTCTCTGTGTCCATCTCTGGCTGAGGTGTCTGGAGTGGAGGGACCACATAATGCAAGCCACATATAAGTGATAGCCTTAAACAGGAAACATGTTCAGTGCCTCATGAGTACCAACGTGAACAAGGCCTGTCAGACACTGTCCTTCGCTCTCTGCTCTGATGAACAGGGCACCTGTGCTGCATGACTCCAGAGAGTACCATTCCCATCAGAGTCTATGAATGGCACCCCCTGCAGTTGTGCAGTGTTCAACCTTGACAGTTGTACATGGTGGCCCTGCCAGTGAGAGACCTGAGACATATACGGATAGCAGCACAGAGGAAGGAGACAACTTCCTGCTGGGGGACAGGGAAGGTTTCATAGAGGAGGTAATGCTTGGGTTTGGTCTTTGAAGAACAGGGGCGAGAGTGTGGGCAGGTGATCAGGTGGAAGGCATAGGTTGAGCAAAGGGCAGGAAGCTGAAAATCATCTAACTGTGTTGTGTGATGAACAAAGTGGGAGATTAGGCTGGAGGGTAGTTGGATGGCAGAACACAGAGGGTCTTAGTTCGGAGGCAACCAAGAGCCATTGCAGATTCCTGCTCAGGGGAGTGACTCAAATGAGGCTATTCCATAAGAAAGGTAGTCTAATGGCAGGGTTGGGGATTAACTGGAGGGGTCAGTGAGGAGCCTGCAGTGGTCCTGGGACTGAGTCAGCACCATGCCAGAGGAATAGAAGCAGGAAGGTGGAGGGGGTGCTGGGCAGGAGGTGGTGAATTGGTGAATGTTGGAGGGAGAGCCCCAGGTAGCTTCCTGTTTTCTTCCTTATCCTCAGGGTCCCCTGATGAGGACAGATAGGTGGACCCTGCTGGGCAGTACCCAAGAACACCTGGGTTGAAGTTGTCCTTTGAACCAGCCTCTGCCCTCCTAGCAGGATTCCACAGTTTAGGGAAAGCTGCGATCATAGCTTTCTCTTTGGAAGCCACAGAGGATGAGCCAGCACCACCCCTGTCCAGAAGGCCCAGCACCTGTGCTCATGGCCCATCTTCCTTCCTTTCCTGAAGGTAAGGGCCTCTGACAAATTGCTGTCAGAGGGGAGGGAGGAGCAGGTCCCACAGCCCAAGAGGCTCCTCCTCTCCTCCCTCTCTTCAGGCTGTGTCCCCCCACCCCGCCCCCCATCTGTTCCTGGTCTCTTCGTGGTCAGGTCAGGACAGTGACGCAGGAGTCAGGAGTTGAGGACTGAGAGAGAGAGCCTGGGGGTTGGGGGTTAGGGACAGAACACATGTGCGGACGTGTTTGGACGTGAGTGTGCATGTGCTTGTCTCACAGCTGGAATCTGGGAAGGAAGCAGAACTAGGTTCTGAAGGCCAAGAGGGGCTGGGAGTCTGCCTGGTGCTGAGAGGGAAGCTGGGACCAGAGGGCATAGTGGGGCGTGCAGACCCACATCCAGTACACCTGGTTCAAGGAGGGCTCCCAATGTAGGCTCGAGGTGAGCCGAGGGCAGGAGAGCAGAGTGGGAGAGAGTCAGGTCCTCATTACTTCCGCCAGAAACACGGCAACCTCTCCATCTTTCTGAACCCCTCTTTGATCATGCTCTCCCCCCACCCCCTTATGTCTCCCCTCACCTCATTCAGGTCTTCTTCATTCAGGTCACCTCAGCATGCGTCCCTGCTTGCCTGATCTAAAATTGCAGCCTCTTCTAACACTCCTGTCCCCCCTTCTGTGCCTGTTCTTAGTCCTTATTGCCATTGGAGATCCTCTTTTATTCATATTTGTGTTTGCCGTCTGCCTCTACTAGAATGTTAGCTCCACCAGGGCAGGCATTCTTGTCTGTTTCATGCGCTGCTCTATCGCCAGGTCCTGGCCAAGAGTAGGTATTTATATGTAGATTTCTTGAATGAATGAATATTTATTTCATTTTTTAAAATTTTCTCACTGAGGATATGTTTCCATTGATTTTTATTTATTTTTTGAAAATATATTTTTATTGATTTCAGAGATGAAGGGAGAGGGAGAGAGAAATAAAAACATCAATGATGAGAGAATCATTTTTTTCTTTTTTTAATATATATATTTTTTATTGATTTCAAAGAGGAAGAAAGAAGGAGAGAGATAGAAACATCAATGATGAGAGAGAATCATTGATCGGGTACCTCCTGCATGCCCCATATGGGGGATCGAGCCTGCAACCTGGGCATGTGCCCTTGACCGGGCATCAAACAGTAACCTCCTGGTTCATAGGTCAATGCTCAACCACTGAGCCACGCCAGCTTAGCTTCACTGATTTTTAGAGAGAGAGGAAGGGTGGGAGGAGAGAGAGAGAGAGAGAAATATCTGAGAGAAAAACATCAATCAGTTGCCTCCTGCAACCGAAGTATGTGTCCTGACCAGGAATCGAACCCACAACCTTTTGGTGTATGGGATGATGCTCCAACCAACCCGGCCAAGGCTGAATATTCATTTCTTGAAGAAACAAACATTTCTTTAAAAAAAAAAATAAAGATTTTTAGAGAGAAAGGAAGGGAGAGGGATAGAGAGATAGAAGCATCGATGAGAGAGAAACATCATAATTGGCTGTCTTCTGCCGGCCCCTTAATAGGCATCAAGCCCAAAACCCGAGCATGTGCCCTAACTGGGAATGGAACCATGACCTCCTGGTTCATAGGTCAGTTTTCAACCACTGAGCCATACCAGCCGGGTGAAACAAGTATTTCTTGAATGAATGAATGAATGAATGAACATTTCCCAACAAAAGCCACCAGCCAGGTGAAACAAATATTTCTTGAATGAATGAATGAATGAACATTTCCCAACAAAAGCCAAATTCCTTAGAGTGGCATTCAAGGAACCTGACCCCTCCCTAACCAGCTCTCTGGTCTGAGCTCTACCTCTCCTTTCTGTACCCTAGGCACCGGACCCTCCTTTCACTTTGCTTAATTGGCCTCCCACACCCACCTCACATCTTTTCCTATTGAAATCCTACCTGCCCTTCAAGGCTGAGCTCACTGTCAACTCCTCCATTACCGCTTCCTTGACTTCCCCCACAGGAGCTCACCCTCTTCCAAACTCTTACAGCTCAGCTCCGTGCACTCCAGTCCTCCCACACTGCCCGGTGTACACACCTTATCTCGACAGTAAGCTGCTAACTCCATCCAGGAGACAGGAGCTCGGTCTCAGCACATCTTTTTGTCTTGCAAAGTGTGTAGTCAAGTGTCTTGCATAAAGAAGGCACTGAACACATGAATAAAATATTTCTAATATCATGAGACCAGGTAGGGAGTGAAGGAACTACCTGTAGGACTTTGCTGTCTTATGAAACCTGCACGAGGTAGGCCTGGTACTTGCCTTGTACCCATCTGACAGGTGAGGACACAGGCTCAGGGGCTGAGGCCATTTTCTGAGGTTTGAGAGCCAGCCAGCCTTGGTCCCAGCTTTAGGAAGATTGCTCTCCTAAAGCCACCTCCCTGCCTCAGGGCTTCCTACAATTCACAAAGGAGTAGCTGCAACTCCCAACTGCCAGCGCTCTGGGGGTTAGCTTTATTCCAGAGTTCCTAAGAATTCTGCCACACAGGCTGGCCTGTGTCACAGGACAAAGAAACGATGTCGCAGTGCATGTGTGTCCTGCAGAGCATACCATGTGATTTGTGCCCTAAAAGTTCAATTCCTGGCTTTTCAGGGTCCTAGAATGTGAGGAGGGGGGAGAAGACCCCCCACATTTCTTGCTCCCTACGCCATCAAATCCCTCAACACGAACAACACTGGTTCTAGAACAAGTACAGGGGCGGTGAGAAGAAAGGCAGCTGACTCGTCCCTGCCAGCACCTTCCTGGCTTCCCGATCCAGCGCCTTCGCAGAAACCTAGGCACTTCCAGCTCTGAGCCCCCGCGCACGATCTGCGTGCCCCCCAGGGAGGCGCGGGGCCCCTCGCCTTTCCCAGAGTGGCCCTCCTTCCAGGCGCAGGCGGCCTGCCCAGCCCGG